GTGTCTAAATAATCGATATCTGTTGTTCTTGCTTCCGTTCGTCGTACCTTACGAAGATGATCTCACACACCGAACGCAATGAGAATGAGAGAGAGGGAGAGAAAGAGAGAGAAAGAAACACACGTGTGTGTAGTACCCTGTACCACCACGCGAGAGAAGCTGTGTAACGAGTGGAAAGAAAAAAGAAAACGAATTAAAAATAAGCGCCATGGAAATTCCGAGAGAGATCACGAGGTGAGGGATTAAATTAAACAAACGAGGGAAAAAAAAGAAACTGTAATAGTGTATTATATATAAAAACTATACGCCTGACTCTATTTGCTGTTTAAACGAAAAAAGATGATAAAACTTAAAAATGAAAATAAAATGGTATAAACTTACACACACTTATCATATCAAAATTTCTAGCGGATAAGAATCAAATCATAGGTTTATTTGTACACGCGTTTTTTCGACGAATTTCGCGCGCGCGCATACCGTTATCATACCATTGTACAACAACGTACAAAATCGTTTTGATTCCTTCATTCGCATTAACATCATCCGTGGCATCATGACCGAGGAAGCTACGAAACTATTGTATAGTTGGACACGTGTTACAAACGTGAATTGTGTGTCGTAGGAGATCCTGAATGATCCTCCATAACCTTATTTTCACGTAAAATGAGCTGATTACAGGTTTTCATTGCGTAACGCGAAAATCGAGACACCGTTGAGAGGTTGATTGTTGGTTACTTGAAATCGTCGGAACACTCCGAAACGAACGTGTCACTCTGCTCAGGGCTCGAGTATCTGAAATGTTCGTTCCTTTGCGTTCACAAGTGTATACACACACACCGAGCGCGTGTATACTGTTTTGCTACACTGATGACGAAACGGGGAAAGAGGAGGAGGAAGAGGGGAGCAAGTCTTTCGCCGAAAAGACGAGAGATAAATAGGAACGGTTAAGAAGAGACTCTGTGTGTGTCATTTGGAAGTTTGTTCGTTTTTACGAAATCGAAAGCCGTAGTCAATTCAGTTTGCATAAGGAAAAAGTTCAATCAAACGCATTGGCATTTCTCATCTCTTCAGATAGAACATTGTTATCGCTAGTCAGACAGATTTTATCGATCGTGAGAGAGCATATTGGTGGATCAACGAAACGATAATAATATATTAAAACGCTACGATACTCCCAGATATTATAATGAACGTTATAATTTTCCACGCTGCTCCGCAAGTAGATCGTTGTAAATTGCATCGATGCGAATTTCAAAATCAAAATGACAGAACTATCATCGACGATAAAAAGAAGTGGGGATTTTGCCTAAAGGGGGGAAAAACAGAAGAAAAAAAGAAGCGATTAAAACGATGTTAAGCTTCGCGCGTAAACATTCCAAAATTGAGATACGAGTCCCACCTTCGTGTTTTAAAATAAATCCCCCCCACTC